ATATATAAATATATATATATATATATATATATATATATATATATATATATATATATATATATATATATATATATATATATATATATACAGAGGTGAAAAGAGTACTAAAATTTCCTACTTAAGTACGAGGGCCAATACTTAGAAAATTTTTTACTCAAGTACAAGTAAAAGTACTTTCCTAAAATTTTACTCAAGTAAAAGTAAAACGTATTTTAAATAAAATGTACTCAAAGTAAAAGTTACATAGTTACATTTTTGTCAACGTAAGGATGGCTACTTCTAAGTAGTGCTAAATCACAATGCCAGTTCACAATTTGCTCGTGTGTATGTTTCAATTGTTTAAAATTATTCTTTATTTTGAGAAAAATAATTATTTTTAGATGCCATCAGTGTGTGAAGTATCTCAATGTTCTCATGACAAAACTCTAACACGAGACTGTGCTCTAACCTGTCACATAACAAGCTAAATGAAATTCAAACATTTCTTATGTATGACAGCTGCTAACGATGGCCCTGCCCTACTTTACCTCTACATTACAGTTTCTTTATCCATGTCCATCCTAGAGCTCCTCTCTGACCTTCATGCTTATTTAGAGCAGCTGATTTTTAAAGTTAGCAGAGTTCATCCTTGGTAGTGGGTTCACTCACTCATTTAACCCTTCACCACTGAAATCAGTTTGTTCATTCCAATCCTCCTAAATAATCCTCCAATCATCCAACTGGAATCCTTAAGGGTCCCGTAACGTCCATCCTGCCAGAATAGGCCTTGGGAGCCCAGGTGTTACTAGAACTAATGGTGTCTCCTCACCAGCGTGAGCCTCCAAACTGTGAAGGTTGGTCTCTAAATCATCACATAGCTGTGGCATCAAGAAGCATCTTCTGAGTTCAAACACAGGGATGGAGCCCAATGTTTACGCCTGAACAGTATCAGGATGTTTTAACTCACAGAGACCTGCAGGTCTTCTGTTTCATGAGCAAAGCGCTGAGAATCCGCTTGTTAGGAGCGCTAAACAGTATTTTGCTGCTTCCGTGCGGAGCGGTAGGGAAACACATTTCAAACACGGAACCGAGTCCGATTACCGAACCGAGCTGAATTCTGACGACGTCACACCGGTGCGCGAAGGTGCGGGTTCCAACCCACAGGAGAGGAGGGAGAGAGGAGGTAAACAGGGAGTGGATTACAGGGACTGAACTGATGTTTCTGAGCAAAACTGCAGTAAATTAGCTGTTTGCCGTCATTATCAAGTGCACACCCACCCCCACGGTTTACACGCGGCGCTCATGCTGGAGTCTCTTCCTGTTCCGATGCTGCCACACGCAATATTTTTCATTTATTAAGCCTACTATTTATTTTTACTCAGTAATGGATATGATTTAAAATGTAGCGAATTACAATTCTTTTAAAAAAACGTACTCAAGTAAAAGTGAAAGTACAGATTTTAAAAACGACGTGAAGATGGGTTTTCTTCCACAAACGCTCAATTTTTCTGCATTGGCACTTCAGGCTGCGAAGGCTGTCATTAAACCAGGGAGTGGGGTTCACTGCAGGAACTGATCTGGTTCTGACAGGACAGATGTTGTCCAGAATGGAGAGGCAGTGCCCGTTAAACTGAGAAGTTAAGGAATCTGGGTCGTCATCAGAAGAACAGGGTGGATCAAAAGCCGCAGAAAAATTGCTAGCTGTGCTCTCATTAAGAAAACGAGAACTTACCATACGGCGAGCAGGAGGTGGGGACGCAGAAACTGACAAGTTAAAGAAAATGCAATGGTGATCTGAAATATAAATGTCCTCAGGACAAACACTGTCAGCATTTAGACTCAGGGTAAAAACAAGGTCCAGAGTGTGTCCCCTGGTGTGTGTGGGGCCAGAAACATGCTGGGTATAGCTGAAGGAGTCCATAAGGCTGGAGAAATTCATGGCAAAGTGATCAGAGGGATCATCAACGTGGATGTTAAAGTCGCCAACAATCACCAGTCTGGACAGCTTCACAGTGGAGGATAGAAAGTCACTAAACTCCTGAAGGAAAGAACCGTTTGGACCAGCTGGACGATAGACCACACCACAGTAGAACGGGTCCTTACGCCCAACTCCAACATCCAAAGGCGTCTCTATGTATTTATGTCTATGATCTGACTGCTGTGTGACTCTATGCCAACCACATGATTGGCGAAGTGTGTGGCAATTCATAATATGGTTGGCAGTTAAGCTTTTCTTTATAAGGAAGTTCTATTGACAAGTTTTCATATGTCTGTCGAGGAAACGTTCTTTCAAAATATGTTTTTGTCTCATTCTAATGTCTAGCCCGATGAGAATAAATTGTATTTTTGTTGAAATCTTTGACCCCATTTACACCAAGTGCAGAACTGGTGCTTTCCAGAAGCCGTGTGGCCATTTTCACTGACTGACAAGTTAAAGAAAATGCAATGGACAATGCAGAACGTCTCCAGAAACGTGCTCCTGCAAAAGCACCAAATTATTGAAAATTATTTTAAAGACATAGACCCCTTTATGCGTGACGTCCTGCGCTCAAGAGCTTGCCCACAATGACCGCTGTTTTTTTCTGTCAGTTGTCAATAAATTGAGCTAAATCTCAGCGAAATGGAATCAGCATGGTTGACACATGCAGCACTGTAGGCTGCACAAGTAGATGAAAGGACAGTAATGTAAACATTTTCAGGTTTCTAGCTCATAAAATAAACTGAAGGCAATGGTTAACAGCCATGAAGAAAGTTTGTCAGAGCCAAAGTCTCATAAGACTAATAAAGTAAAATACCTGCCCCACATGTCCAGACATGAACACATTATAGCCATCTAATGACTTGTACTTCTTTGCAACCGAGTTAAATGTGTTTCTTTTCATGTAATTACCCAAAACGCGTTCTGTGGTTGGAGCAAGCAGCCTTTATTGTAATTTATTTACTGAGCTTGTTAGGTATGTCAAATCTACAAAAAGTATTTAGTTATGTATTTACGTACTGTTTGTCCCTCCTGAAATCTGCCCAGCCTCATTCGCTTCCTGTTTCGGGTTACTGAGCTTGTCAAAAAATAAATAAATAAAGCAGCTGTTCTTTTCCGAAGACGAACTGTGACACAGCGATCCTTCGGCATTAACCAACACAACGCTTCGTTGCTTCAGCTGTGTAAAGTCCAGCTGTGTCAGTCAAATAATTGTAGATATGCCTGAACTAGTGGCCAGTGCTGAGGACTGTCGTCCTACAGCTCGTTAGCGTTTTCAAACGGATCAGGCGCTAAAGCTTTGAGGTGTAACATTTTGATCATCCGCACAAAGATCCGTTAGATGATCTAAGTAGTAAAATCTAAATCCGTAGGTTTAATCTTGTTAGATTAAATTGCGGAGAAACTGCTCTGGCTGGTGAGAGCCCCTTTTCCCTCCAGCGGTTTATATTAACGTGAACCATGCATTGTACGTTTTCACTGATAATAGGTTGAGGGTTAATTAATAGCAAAAAAAAAACTAGAAAAATAAATGCAACACGGGTTTTATTTTGGAAATATACCTGATGCACCTCACTGACACACATCTCTTGTCTGGCTCGTGTAAATTCTTTCACTTCATGAAAATCCACATGCGACGTCTGGAGTAAGTAGACTCCATGTGAAAACACTTCAGAGCTTCAGATCTGCACCGCAGCCGGCGTGAGTGCTCTGATTGGGCTCATTGATTTTTGGTCTACAGAAACCAGATCGCATCCATTCTGCCCTTGGAGTAAACGAGGGATTAGGGTTACTTTGCCCTGGATAACTGAGAACCTTGACCAGCACGTTTCCAAAATGGCTCCTAAACAATCCCAGTTTTGTGTACAATTCTTCTACTGCTCTTCTTGAGAGGATCCTTCTACACTTTCCAGAACACTCACTTTTTTATGTGCACAGCTTAAGAGACGATAAATGCCAAAGAGGCTGCAGCTGAGGCTCTTATCCCTGCATGTGGTGAAATATTTCATGACTTTTGCTAAATGTTTGCCTTCAGAGCTGAAAAAACAGGTGTTGGAGATAAAAGACAATTATGAAAAATGCACAAAGAAGCGCTAGTGCCGCAATGTTGACTATCTGAGACAGTCGGTCTCATATGCACACGTGTCCATTAATGCATTTATTCCACCTGAGATCAAATGTTGCCAAGTCCAAACATGTATGATGAGTATAAAACAGCTCCAAGCTTACAGAGGAGTCTGGGTTGTGTTGCCCTGCGAACCTTTTACATCCGAGTTGTGGTCCTCTTGTCCTCAAGCCTGGAGACCTGTAATCAGTGTGGAGAGCTGCCGTGACTGCACCAAATGCAAAACAGCCTGTAGAGCTGTCTCCACAAAAAACACACTCAAACTCCTCAAATACACGAACACGCTCACGGATCCGTCGCTCACTGCAACCTTTTCACTTCCACTCTGACTGAAGAGTACTTAAAATGTGCGTGACAGGCATAGCAAAGGAGATAAACAGGACCGAGGTGCTGCTCGGGGTGAGAGGGAAAACTCAGTGGTCACAGCTTGTAAAGTGAGCTTGAGTCCTGTCGTGCTTTTACAAACAGACCCCATCTCTTTTGAACACTTAGACTGTAAAAAAAAGCAAAACGCATGACCTGATTTCTTATAGTTACACTAAGGAATACATCTGTAGTTCACCAAACATGTCTTGTTCAACATTTTACAAGCCTTGCATCTTCCGATATGTCCCCTAGAAACCTGACTGTAGGCAGAAAATAAAAGAATACAAATAAATACACCTTGGAGTAAAACCCCTACAGACCCTCCCTGTGTTCTGGAGAAATAACAAGCTTCTGTAGTTCTTTTCATTTATTCAGCTGATATATTTTCTGCTTTATTGATTTAATTCACAGTTGTCATTTGCTGTTTCTTTTCCAGTGTACTTTCTTCATCCTCCTCTTTTCCACTGTGAAACTTTTATTTAGTGATACAGAATACGAAATATTTAAATGAGGAGAGATGAGTCATCTGTTTTATTCTCTGTGACCCTGCAGAGGGCCTGGCTGTAGGAGTCGGTTTTGGAGCCATAGGGAAGACGACATCTGCTACTTTTGAGAGCGCCAGGTGAGCTCGATATTAGAGGATACACACCCATGGTCAGCTGTGTTGTCCAATTTTATTATTGTGTGTGTATTATTTGTTATAGTGTGTGTGTGTGTGTGTGTGTGTGTGTGTGTGTGTGTGTGTGTGTGTGTGCGTGCGTGTGCGTGTGCGTGTGCGCGTGTGCGTGTGTGTGTGTGTCAGTCACAAGCCCATGTTCATTTTCAGCAACCATCAGATTGTGTGACTCCTGAGAGAAGCCTGTAGAAAGGGAATTGGACCTTTGAATTGTTGCTTTTTAAAAAAGGGTAGAATGCCTTCTCCAGGTCAGGGATGCGGTCCTGCTCCAAGTGGAGGAGTTTAAGTATCTCGCGGTCTTGTTCACGAGTGGGGCAAAGCTGGAGCGTGAGATCGATAGGAGGACTGGTGCTGCGTCTGCAGAGATGCGGGCATTCTTCCCTCTCCCCAGCCACTTGGGCCAGCTCCTCCAGGTAAATCCCAAGGGGTTCCCCGGCCAGGTCCGGTAAGAAGTCTGCTCCGACAGCTTCAGGCGTTTTAAAAAGTATCCCAGGGGCACGGTAAGGGTCGGAGATGTTTAGTCTATTTAATTTCTGACTATATAAAACGATTACTTCGGCTTTAAAGTGTGAAGTAAACTCCAACGAAGTAAAATCCAAGCCGATCCCTCTGAGAGTCACGTGACGTCCGGAGCTCTATGGTTGCTTTCAGTCCATAACGTGTTATTGGTTGAGGGTTGTAACCAAATGCGAGTGAACCACTTTAATTTTTTTATTAATCTTTACAATATATTTACAGTTAAAATGTCATTAAGAGGCATGAAAAAATGTAATCAAGTTTCCTACCAAACTTATGAAATTATGGTTTGAGTTAAATAAATTATCATTGAATTTAAATAAAACTTAAATCAGGCTGTTTGGAAAACTGGGAAAAAAATAAAACACAAATGGCAATAACAATAAATGATATCATTATAGATATGAAAATACATTTCTGGGTGTAATCTTTGATCACAAACTCTGCTGGAAAACTCACATAAAATATATTAAAGGAAAGGTAGCGCAAAGCATTGGGGTGTTGGGAAAAGCAAGACATTTTGTGAATCACAAGGCATTGTACATACTGTACTCTACACTCGTAGTACTATATCCAACTTACTGTGTTGAAGTGTGGGGAAACCCATAAAAAACCACCGTATGTTCACTGTGTATGTTACAAAAACGAGCCGTACGGTTGGTTAGCCATGTTACACATAGCTTGATTATAAGATTACAAATCTTGATAGAATTTAGGACTGCATTATTCATGACCAGAGTCAATCAGAAACTCTGCCTGATAATATTCAAAGGCAGAAAGACAAGGGGGGATTATCTGAGAAGGGAATTAAATGTGAAACATGATTATGCCCGAACAAATCTTGAAGATATGTGTATTTCAATCTGTGGAGTTTTTTATGGAACAGTATGGAAGAAAAAAATCAAACAAAGTATAAATATATTGATATTTTTAAAACTATACAAAGAACTGATTTTCTCCAGATACAGACAAGAGGAAGATTGATTCGTACAGGTACAGTGATATTATACATTAATGTTGTTGTACTCAGACGTTGTTGTACTCTGGTATTTCAAAGTTTTAAGTGTGTGGCCTAGTGGTAGAGTGTCCGCCCTGAGACTGGAAGATTAGGGGCTCGACTTCTGGTCGGGTCATACCAAAGACTTTGGAAAAATGGGACCCAATGCCTCCCTGCTTGACACTCAGCATTAAGGGGGTTGGATTGGGGGGTTAAACCACCAAATGGTTCCCGAGCGCGGCTGTGTCTGCAGCTCACCGCTCCCCCAGGGGATGGGTCAAATGCGGAGAACAAATTTCACACACACACATGTGTGTGTGACAACTAATGGGACTTTGAATGAATTTATGGATGGGTGAAGTAAGCGATGCTTCTTCCTGTTCCTTTTCTAACTATTTTTGTTTGTTACTTTGATATAAGTTGGAAAATCTAATACGGTAATGCCATTTTATTATATTTTATTTTTTACTTACATTTGTTGTTTTCTTTCTTTTTTTTTTCTTTGCGAAGTCATCATTTAACCTTGTTTGGAATAAAAAAATAAAAAAACATGCTAGCTTGCACACCACTGCCATCTAATGGCAGCATGTTGATACAACACAGATGAAACTAAATCAGGCAGCAGATCACCATCAGAACCGACAACGGTTGATCTTTGTGATTCAGGAGTTCACCCGAACGACTCAGAAACCAAACAGCCTCCAAGCAGGACTGTGGTCAGAAGTGTTGGGATTGTAAAGATGAGCAAATCTACCAAAACGGCAGCGTTACGTTTATTTAACCATCTCGGTTTTAATAATGCACAGGTAGAGCTGACTTACTGTTAAAGTTCTGATGATGCCAGTGAGTGAAATGTGTGTCTTGGTACTGGGTGTGTTTACTGGACTGTCGCACTACCGTCTGGTCTCAGATGTTCGTCATAAAAAGAATTTATCCCCCAACTCCTGAAAGCCTTTCCTTCAGTTTGGGATAGATTTTTTTTTATAATTCCTGTGGATCTTTTAGTTGTTTCAGTGAGATCCATGAGAATACCATCTGACAACAGGCGGCTCTCTGGTTCTGCGTCATGTTCTGCTGGCACCAAGTGGCTGCATGGTGGTACTGAAGGAGAAGGTTTCTACCTAAAACGACCGTTCTGTCTTCCACAGATGGTTGATGTGATCTGAGTGTCTCTACTTTAGAAGAGCCTCCAAGGTTCCTCCTAGTGCCGTTCCTTCTTCCATTCTTTAACTCGGACTCAAGTCTGGGATTTTTAATATGTTTCATCATGAGTTCAGTTACTCCACAAGTCTGTAGATTTACAAATATCAGCGTTTGCTATCCGATTTCGATAAAAAAGACACGTCACCTCACAAGAACGTGAGCCTGGATGTGTGAAAAACAAGCTCAAGAAACTAGATATGTGGAGGATGATGTCATGGCCGCTTCATGACCAGGACCGCAGCATTTCCTAGCTGACTTTCATTAAACAACATAAATGTTTCATCTTGTTCAGAAATGCTGACATTCCAGTCAGGGAATATTTTTTCTGTTTACTTTGCGAGTTTTGATGGTTTTCTGTGACTCAAAGTGTTTTGCTGGTGATGCACAATTCTTAAAGGTGTACTTCAGATCATTTGAAGTGGGCTTTGAGCTAAAAGCGTATGAAAGCTCCCTGGATAACTCTTTGAACAGCCTCAGTTTGGAGAAACAGACACTCTGGAAGGTAATGGTGTAAACGAACAGGAAGTGCTACCCAAACGCTGCTAAATTCCACCTTAAATAACTAGAAATCTATGTAAACAAGCAGGGAACTCTCCTGTGTGAAGGTTTAAATAGTGACACACCAGCTGGTCTTTGGGTAACGTTTGCTGTGAAGAGAAATGCTGTGATTTTTGTTTTGGTTTTGTGCCCCAACAGAAATTTGGCTATTGGAATTGGCATCCAGAATTTCCCAGAAGGCTTAGCAGTGAGCCTGCCTCTGCGAGGCTCAGGGGTCTCAGTGTGGAAGGCCTTCTGGTAGGTCGTGTCTGATGAATGCGATGGCTGTCTGGAGTCACGTGTCCGTTTGGATGTGCTGTATGACTGTTGGCGGTCTCTCCTCAGGTACGGCCAGCTCAGCGGCATGGTAGAACCCATAGCTGGCCTCCTGGGAGCTAGCGCTGTTGTTCTGGCAGAACCTCTGCTGCCGTACGCTCTAGCGTTTGCAGCCGGGGCCATGGTCTACGTGGTGGTGGATGACATCATCCCTGAGGCTCAAGTCAGGTGAGAGAAAAACACGTCAGATGTAGAAACGTTGAAAGCCCGTGTTTCACGGGACTGAGACTGTTGGTGAAAAGTAATCAGCAAGTCTGGAACCCATCTCCACTTTGTTTCTGAGTCAGAAAGCACACCAGACTAGAGACCATGCTTTGGGAGGGCTGGAGATACTATGACATCAAGACTAGAGAATAAAATGGTTGGATAAAGTACGGGTTGAGAATTAAGACATTTTCTAACTAAATTCTTGAGTTTTTTTCTTTAACTTACAAATCCAACAGTCTCCAAACTCTAAACGTTATCATTGTCTCTACTTCCTCCGGCGAAGTGCAAGGCCCTGATTCTGTGGAACAGGGCAGTCCGCCATATTCAGAGAAGAAGCAACGCGTACCTCTATCTGCTCATGACTCGAGTAAAAGCCCGAGTTTATTGTACAAAGTTGACGACAAAGTCACTTCAAACGAGCCGCCGCCATCTTAGCTGTTCTGCCCACTAAAGCGACAGAGCTGTGTGTAAAATAAAACAGCTCCGGCCAATGGTGGACCTACCGATGCTCCTGTAGAGGTTGCTAGGCCGACCCGCAGAGCTAAATCATTTAGCGTTTAGTTTCTGAGTCCAAAGGTGATAAATGTGAGGAATCATTGGTAGTGATATGGGCTCATGATGATTTTTTTCTTTCCTTCTGCTGCCAGTGGAAACGGGAGGCTGGCGTCCTGGACCTCCATCCTGGGCTTCATTGTAATGATGTCACTAGATGTGGGGCTGGGCTGAGGTTGCCATGGCGACGGATGGACCTTCCACTGACCTGTTTTTAAAAACGTGACCAAAGGCAGTGTTTTCTACTTGAATATGCAATGAAATGTCTGAATTACCGCTACTTGAATTTCACCTGTGAGAAGCACACGTGTTCCTGAAATCCTGAGGATGGCTGTACTTGAACACATACCTGCTCCTTATGCCCATCCTTTTCTAAGAGAAGCTCACAGCCTTCATTTAAATGTCTGATATTTATTTTAGATATTTAATGATCCTTCCGACTCCTGAGCTGGTGAATAGTTTTCAGACTTTTGTGATGTTTCGGTCATTTTGGGGGAAAAGTAAATAAAAGTAATTTCCACTTATCAAACTGCCAGATGAATGTCATTATGTTGAGTTTATTAGTCTTCCTGTTTCATCAGCAAACTTTATATTTTAGCTTCTGCTGAAGCAGCTAGACAGAAGAGGAACGGTGTGATCATCGAGTGGAAATGCTCATTTTTTTAGGGAATTCTCTTCTTCAGATGTTGTGAGACTCCTACAACTGTAGTAACAAAACAAGCATCTGTCTTTTTCTACCACCTACTGGTCGGTCCTAGGTATTACTTGCTGTAGTTCTGGTGTTTGAGTGTGAATGCTGTGCGCGCCATCAAATGATTAGTTCTCCACTTTTCTGTCCATCTACCTGTTTTTGCTTGAGAAATTAGCCTTAGTCCTGGCTTCAGTCTGCTTGGAGGTCCCACAGTTTTGGTTTCATTGATAACTTTAACCTGTTTTGGAAGCGTTTTTCCTTTTTCAGGCAACACCGTATTCACCCCAACCATCATGGCTCAAACATGCTAACCGCTAACATCAAGCTGTACACAAGAGCATCTCTGAACCCGCAACACGTCGAACCTTGAGGCAGATGGATTACAGCAGCAGAAGACCACACCTGGTGCCTCGTCTGTCAGCTCAGGACAGGAAACTGAGGCTACAATTCCCACAGGCTCACCAAAATTGTACAAAAGATGGAAAAACGTTTCCTGGTCTGATGAGTCTCGATTTCTGCTGCGACATTCAGATGGTGGGGTCAGAATTTGGCATCAACAACACAAAAGCATGAATCCATCCTGCCTTGTTTCAATGGTTCAGGCAGGTGGTGGTGGTGTAATGGTATGGGAGACATTTACTTGGCATCGATGCAACACCTCAGCCTACCTGAGTATTGTTGATGAACAAGTTCATCCTTTTACTGCAACAGTGTACCCATCTTCTGATGGCCACTTCCAGCAGGATAATGCACCATGTCATTCAGCTAGAATCATCTCAGACTTGTTTCTAGAACACAACGACTTCACTGTACTCAAATGGCCTACACAGTCACCGGATCTCAATGCAATGGAGCACCTTCGGGATGTGGTGGAACGGGAGATTCGCATCATCGATGCTTAATGAACTGACCTGTATTGGAATGTTTACTATGTGAAGTGCCTTGAGACGACGCTCGTCGTGATTTGGCGCTTTATAAATAAACTTGAATGTACAGCCGACAGACCTGCAGCAACTGCGTGATGCTGTCACGTAACTTTTGCGGCGGCCATAGTCCTACAAACCATGTCTGTAAAACTGTGGAAACTAAAATAAATACACAGATGAAACAACAAACGTACATGTTTAATATAACAAGTGAACAGAAGAGGGACTAAAGACATGTTAAGACAAATTTCCAACGCAGACGGACCTAAAATAAAGCTCCTTCTTCACAGAGCGGGGCTGGGAAGGGTTTATGTTGCAGGAAGTTGCTGAGACTTGTGGGCATTTCCAGCTGGTCGATGCAATGGATCTTGTCAATCTTTTTGAGGTATCGTCGCACAGCGAGTCGGCACTGGGAGGTCAAGGCTTTGGGATTTCCTGGAGAGGACAGGAGAGGAAGAAACATTTCCTATCAAACTATAAAACTTGCTTTTACACAAAACATGGTCTGAAAACTGCGTCAGTCACTTTTCACGCGGACTTTGTGATTTCTAAAGAAAAACATGATGGGAAAATGCGCGGGAGCCTTTAAACTAAACAAACACACCTCAGCGAGCCACGGCTGCAGCTCTGTTGGGTTTCCTTAAACCTGCTCGTTCCAGCGGACAGGCGGACTGATTTGATGAACAATATTTCATCTGGGTTAAATTACATACTTTAATTAAACGTCGTTCCCTCAGATCTGGAATATCTCAGCGATCCCAGAGCTCCATGCCGCTTTGATAGATAGCATAGGCTCCACCTGACCGGGTCCACAGCTCACCGCTGCTGCAGCAGCGTGGTGGTGACCAGAGCCTGGATTTCTGTCTCCGCTGTCATGGTGACCCGTAAGCAGTAACAGCAGAAGCGGTTTTATAGGTCAGAAGATTAGTTTGGGCAAGTATTTATTTATTTTTTTGCTGAGCCTAGGAAGGGTTTTAGTAAGGATTCTACACGGTTTCATAAATGAGGCCCTGTGATTAGTAAGAGGCAATAACAGAGCTACTGTAATTCCTCACAAGGGTAAAACTGTCCACACAGACTTCCATCCTGCAGGGAGGAAGAAGCATCGCTAGTTTCCCGTTTTCCGTACCTCTCTCCCTCAGAAGCAGCTCCACAGCTTCGTTCTGCTTGGTGGACTTCTCGATGATCAGCGTGGGGAGGTAGACATTCGCTCCAAAGTCGATCAGCAGCTGGATGTACTCCACGCCGCAGCCGTGTCTCAGGCACATCTCCAGCACCGTTTTAGGCTGCTTGATGGAGCTCAGCAGCTTGGCGTCTGCGCAGTTGTAGTCCGGGTCGGCCCCGTAGAGGAGCAGCAGCCTGAAGCACTCCATGTGTCCGTAAACAGCGGCCAAGTACAGCGGCCCGCTGGTTACCCTGGCGCTGGAAGTCCAGAGTAGGACCTTAGAGCGGGAGTTCACCTCAGCACCGTGGATCAGCAGCTGCTTCAGGATCTCCACGTCACCCTCCCGCGCTGCTGTGAGGACCGGGGAGCCATTGTTGGAGGAGTTCCCGTTGGGGTTGGCCCCGGCTCTGAGGAGAGCTAAAACACAGTCCAGATATTTGCCCCTAACCGCTGCGAAGAGAGGAGTCTGGGCCTTCACATCCACACAGTCTACTAGCGCACCGTGGGCTAGCAGGACGTGGAGGCAGCTGAGGTGGCCTTTAGACACGGCCGCATGTAGAGGGGTGCCCGCGATGCCCCAACCTCCCCTGCAGTTGATGACTTTCTTGTACATCTCCTGGCAGAGCATCGTGTCAAGGACTGTGTCATTGTTTAGTAGCACCACCTGCCTGACCTGGGAGACTTCACAACTGCTGTCTTCTTCAGACGCCCTTAGCTGGAGCATCGAACCTGCTGGGAAATGTTACACAAAGTCTGATCAGCTATGCACCAAATCAAAGTTTAAAATTGACTTTTTCTGTTTTGAAGACGAGGACTTGCTAGCTAGTCCTGTAGCCTTGTTACCAACCTGCAAACCTAACAAGACCTTTGATGCAAGAAAACCTCGTTGCAGACTAATTTGCTACAACCAGGGCTTCATAAGCATAGGATCAGCCTTTGATCACCAGTTGGACTCACTTGGAAGGCGGGGTCAACCCTAAATGCCAGTTTGTCATTTTAAAGCAGGCCAAACCTTTCTGAGGATGCTGGCATCTCCTCACGTCCGTTTATAAATAACAACACAAATAACAGCACAGTGTTTATTTTGTTTGTCACGAGCTGTGACGTTTTTCTATTCTCCAATCAGTGGATGTGTGACGAAGCTTTAGACACATTTAGACCATTTTTAAAATAATTGTTTTAAACAATTAAATAGTTTAAAAGACGTAAAGAACTAATTAAACAACAAGTTCCACTACATCAGCCACATGAAGAGAACACGGTAATAAAAGCAGAGACGAGGTGCTACGGAAAGCCAGATGTCCAAACCAGGAGTCGGTGTGGATGGTAAATAGCAAGTATTTGATGTTGTCACGAGATGCACGTGCACGGGATTTCAGAGGTGAGCAGTGACTTTCATCCACAGTGAGTGACTTAATAAAAGCAGCACTTTAGCATGAAATGGAACACACGATAAATCATCTGGAGCCAAACTTCATTCCAATAATCCACTATTTGAATTGTAATGCCTTGCTGGCTTGTTCGCACACATGACTGACCCGAAATTAGGGTTCCTTATCAACAGATGACTTCTTCCAAATAAATCGGCATCCTAAAATTATTAAAACGTGCCAAAGGGAATTAAAGACCTTTGCATTCAGTAACTTCCTCTAATATACAGAGTCACTGCCAAATACGGCGTGATTAGGCTAGTTCTGGAACAACACATTAAAGCAGTATGCTCTTTATTTCTGTACAATTATCTCACAAACAGCAACTAAAATGACAACGCATCACTGCTCTGTAGTACAATGTAACGTAGCGGCTGAAGAGGAGAGAGACCAAAACATCACGTTCCTACCCCGCTAAAACACCGACACGTTAAATTAAATATAAAGTTTAACAATAGACGGACGTGTACAAGCCTTCACTTGCTTGTAAGTCACTTATTTAATCAAAAGACAATATTTAGCTGTGTTTTTTCGGCTGTTTTTACTACCTTTGATGTGTCACCATCCGGTACCTTCTTCTTCCTCGGTTTCTTTGCTTCCTTGTTGCGTTTATGCGTAAGATTTCTCTGCTGCCCCCTTGTGTTTGTTGACTGTAAACGCAGCCCTGCTGTCAAATCTACTCTGTTTAGAATAGAATAGAATAGAATAGAATATATTTATTCCACAGTGGGGAAATTCACTCTTTACAGAAGCATATACACTAGAGAAAAGGAAGAAGAAAAAAACAACAAAGTACAGGTAAACACACAAAGGCAATAATATATTTTTGAAACCATCAACCACTAAAAACAACACATAAAAAATGGGTTTACAAAAATGTGTAGCATAAGGTACACAGACATGCTAGTGCAGATGCGGTACTGCACAAGTATTGAACACATACTGAATATTGCATTGATGTTATTGTGAAGAAGGATAATTAGTCAAAATAAAGTAGGGACCTCTGAATAGTTATACATTTCATAAAGACTAAAAGATTGTTTGTTTAATGTCTAAAATGTGAAAAAAATACTGCAAAGTTAAGTACTTGTGATTTTTAAACTTAATTTTTTTAATTCAACTTTGAAACATTTTTGGGCCCCTGACAGCTGTGGGACCTTAGAATCTTCCTAATCTTTCACCGCTTTACGGCGCCCCTGATTGCGTCTATCAAAAACTCCAAATCAAAAGATACATTTGGACTGAACTCCATGTTTTTAAAGAAACATGCTGCCTCCCTTGCAGGGCCTATAACTAAACTCATAAACACCTCTTTTATGGAGGGTACATTTCCAAACAACTGGAAGTCTGCTGTTGTTGTACCAGTCTACAAATCAGGAGATGCAACTGACATGAATAACTATAGGCCGATTAGTATTTTGCCCATTATGTCTAAAATCTCTGAAAAATGTGTAGCTGAGCAATTGACTGAGCATCTTAACAGTACACCTTCTAAACTGCATCCTATACAATTTGGCTTTAGAGCAAATCACTTCACAGAGACAGCTTACTGTTTCTTTGTGGAAAACAGAAAGTCTAAATTGGACAAAGGAGGTATAGTTGGAGCCATCTTTTTAGACTTGAAAAGAGCTTTTGACACTGTCAATCTTGACATACTCATCCAGAAGTTGTCTTGTTTTAACCTCTCAACCAGTGTTATAGACTGGATGAGATCTTACTTGGCAAACAGAGCTCAGTGTGTGAGAGTTATGGTGAGACATCAACACCATTGAGGAACGAGCTGGGTGTACCACAGGGATCTGTCCTGGGCCCTATTCTGTTCAGCATCTACATAAATGACCTGCCATCAGTGTGCACTGGATGTAAGGTGCAGATGTATGCTGATGACACAGTCATATATGTGCATGCAAAAACTAAAGCCCAAGCTGCTGCTAAGCTCAGTGATACTATGGAACATGTGCATAAATGGCTCACTTGCTCACAGCTGTATCTCAATGTAAAAAAGACAGTTTGAATGTTTTTCTTAGCCAAAAGAACATTTCATCCAACTGTGAACTCACTGTATGTGTATCTGGGGAAGTCATTCAAACAGTTACACGGTTTAAATATCTAGGCATTATTATTGACAATACGTTATCATTTAAACATCAAGTGAGAAAGGTAGTGCAAATTACCAAATATACTCTAGCAAACTTTAGGTATATAAGACACTGCTTGACAACACCTGTAGCTATGCTATACACGAACACTATGATATTCCCTCATCTAACATACTGTATTACAAGCTGGACCCAGGTGTGTGGTACAACATTAAGACCTATCCTATCACTTCCTCTATCATCACTGTAGTGTCCTTACCAAATATAATCTACTTAGTTGGGAAAATATTTTAAAACACAGTGATGCATGTTTAATCTTTAAGATTATCAATGGGAAGGCTCCCCCACCACTTTGTGCTTTTATTCAGCAGAACCACAAGGTCTGCACTAAGAGGGGACTGTGTAGTCCCTCATACGTCTAGTTCTTTTGGACAGGTATGCTTTTCTGTGAGAGCCTCTAAACTGTGGAATCAGATACCACTGGATACCACTTCACATCGTACATTTAAACTCAGTTTTAAGAACTGGCTTTTAAGCACACAAAAATGTGAACACCTTTCAGATTCAGATTTCAGATTTATTGGCCAAGTAAAATTACATTTACAAGGAATTTGTCTTCGGTAGATGTTCGCTCTCTAAAACATACAACAACCACAATAAATGAGAATAAAAATACCTAAAAACACATAAGAACATGTATACCCACACACATGTTCATTTACACACACACACATACTGTATATACATACCCACGCACACACACACACACACACATATCCATAATAAGCATACTGAAAAGTATTAAAACTATAGTAAAAGGATGGTAAAAGAATCTACAGATTCAGGAGAGAAATGGCTGAAGGAAAGAAACTGTTCTTGTGTCTGGTGGTTTTTGTGTACAGCGATCTATCGCGTCTGCCAGATGGGAGGAGATGGAAGAGAGTAGAAGCTGGATGTGTGGCATCTTGGACAATATTCACTGCCTTTTTCCTGCTCCTGCTGATGTACAGTTCCTGGACAGAGGGCAGTTGGGCACCAATGATTTTTCCTGCTGTTTTAATAATACGCTGTAGTCTGCATTTGTCCATTTTTGTGGCTGACCCAAACCAGACAGTGATGGATGAGCAACGTATGGAGCAGTGTAGAAGATGATCAGCAGCTCTTGTGGTAGGCCGTACTTCCTTAGTTGCCGTAAGAAATACATCCTCTGCTGAGCCTATTTGAGGATGGAGTTGATGTTTGTTTCCCACTTCAGATCCCTGGAAATGATAGTTCCCAAGAACTTGAATGAGTCCACCATTGACACCGGGCTGTTGGATATTGGGGGGGGGGGGGGGGGGGGGGGCACTGTGGGAAGCTTCCTAAAATCCACGACCATCTCCACAGTCTTAAGGGTGTTAAGCTCAAGATTGTGCTGACTACACCAGACCACCAGTCTCTCAACTTCTCGCTGATAAGCAGACTCATCACATCCTTTGTAACTTTCATAATCATTGTATGTTTGATTTTAGACTTTATTTATTTTGTAACCTATAGTATGTATGATAGATACTGCAAATTGATATATACTTACTTTTGATTCTCTAATGAGTTGTATGGGTATATGAATTACTTATTTCTCTTTTCTATTTTATCTTTATTTTTTGTGTGTTATGTTTTAATGAAATTGAGTGTAATGGCATTATGATTTATTGTTGTATATTAATTAGTTACTAGGCTCATTTAATCTGTTTTTTCTTTTTTCTTCTCCTTAGCCAGCGTGCTTAGTATAACATCTTGCCACTGCACTACAATATAAAATTAGCCAGCTGGCTAACACTGGCACATTTACAGAAATGTTTATTAATATTCACGGTCCTTAAATAAATAAATGAAATGAAATTACAGCTTTCACTCCGCATTTGAAAAATGAAACCTGTCTCAATAAAATTTTATTTCTCTTTCTAGAATTTATTGAACTCATCACAGCACACTGTGACATTTGCTTCATCCTGAATTATCCCAAAATGGCTAAACGGGACTTTCTCTGCCAGACTAATGTGTACACACCTTTGGGATGCCCCCTCAGCATACAGTTTACACACACACACACACACACACACACACACACACACACACACACACACACACACACACACACACACACACACACACACACACACACACTAATCGTAACCATAAGACATTCCCAATTCAAGACTTTTGCACTAGTTTGCAGCCCGTGAGATTGTAGTGTTGTAGATAGCTTGGTTCGGCCATTTGACTCCACACAACCTTTGTGTTTCACATTGTTACATCAATATAATATTAATTGTGTTTTTAGATAGATACAAAGAGACTGTTAGAGAGATTCCTGTTGATAATGCCAAGATGCTGTAGCATTTTATTTTGAAAGAATGTGTTTCTACTAAGTAAATACTGTAACTATACACCTCCTTTTTCTTAACATTCACAAAAGGACAAAATCTGGAAACTTAAATTGGGGCAAAAATGGTTTAATGTCCTCTTAAAACTCCTTAGCTAATATTTAATTGGACCTTCAGAGGAGAACATGTGTTGGAGCAGCTGCTGGACTGTTTATGACACACCTCATTGCAGCTCTCATGTCTTTTGTCATGTCAGCGTTGCCACTGATTCTCCATAACTGAAGTCCCTACAGCTGAATTTTCTACTCTCTAAAGAAAATAGTTGCGATAGTTACTATAGCAACAGCCTGACAATTCTGAATGAAAAGTGCCTTATCACTGCCTTCAACTTGATCTGTTACCAAGGCAACAATGATGGCATCCTGTCTCGTTTGCGTCACGGAGCTTTTGTCTGGTCGGTGATGAGGTCCCGGTGTTAGCGCTGGGAGCTCCAGCAGCACAGAGTCCAAAGGATATTTATGACTTTCATAATAAAAGCACACTCTCCAACAGCTGTTGGTCAGGATTGGTTGTAGTTTCTCACCAGAGGCTGGCCTCCTCTGTCCACTCTGCTTCTGTGGCTGTTGCTGAGAGACACAGCACAAGTCACCCAAGCGCTCACACACAGTGAAGAGGAGGCCTTTAGAACAATGGCCCGTGCACCATAACTCATGTGTGCCTCCAAGACGGGTAAAGCAGAAATAAGTGGAAGGAGAAGTAAACGGGGGCTGAGCTGGGTGTGAGACAGAAGGGCCAGGAGAGAGAGAGAGAGAGAGAGAGAGAGAGAGAGAGAGAGAGAGAGAGAGAGAGAGAGAGAGAGAGAGAGAGAGAGAGAGAGAGAGAGAGAGAGAGAGAGAGAGAGAGAGAGAGAGAGAGAGAGAGAGAGAGAGAGAGAGAGAGAGAGAGAGAGAGAGAGAGAGAGAGAGAGAGAGAGAGAGAGAGAGAGAGAGAGAGAGAGAGAGAGAGAGAGAGAGAGAGAGAGAGAGAGAGAGAGAGAGAGAGAGAATGTATTTGAATCACCAACAAGAAAATAAATAAACACAGTCGATGTGCTCACAGAGTTTGGCGATGCTCCTGTTAATCAGAAGATGATTTCTTCGACAACATGGCGGGCACACCATTCTGGAGTCTCTGGGTGCTCTTCTTCACCACAGCCAGAGGTGAGAAACTTCAGTTTCTTCTGAATTTAAACTCAAAAGCACCATGTTTGAATGTTCCCGGTGTATTTAGCATATTTTGTTGTTGTAGAAAAATTCCCTCCTCTGTGACCATTGGCTTCAAAACAATAGGACGAGTTCTGATCTCTTCAGTCACCTCTAATGGTGAGAGTGATGGGAAGTGTGGTGTGTGGAAGTTTACACATCAGGAGGAGAGTGAGAGGATTTCAGATTCAGGATTAGGTTAGGTACCAGTTTAATTACAACAAGAGAGTTGTCTGGACAAGTCCGTGCACAAGGGTCTTTACAGTCTAACAGGTAAACAAAAACAAATGATGATACACTCCCTTTAGGTCTTCTCTCGGTTGAACGTGCCCGGAAAACATCACAAGGGAGGCATCCAGGAAGTATCCTAACCAGATGCCCGAGCCACCTCAACTGGCTCCTCTAGACGTTGTGGTGCGGGGGATGCGTGCGGGGTTCAGGGGCCACTAAGGGGGTCTTCTATTGAGGACCACTGTCCTATTTCATACACACTACGTTACCATAAGTATTGGCATTTCTGCCTCCACAGGAAATTTGATAACATCCGGTTCTTCATCTGAAGGGTTTAATATGGAGTTAGTCAACCCTTTACATCAGGGGTCACCAATCAGGTGCCTGCCGCCACCATGATGCCCACAGGAACTATGTGAGTTGCCCACAGGCCTGTTCTCTGAATAGCACAAGTCAACAATAAGCATAATAATCTGCTGCCATCTTTTTAATCACAAATGCATTCATAGGTTTAAAAACTACAATTATCTTTAAAAAATTAATTATGTGTATTATACTTAAAGTTTAGATGAACTCTGATCTATTCATGTTGAAAGGTCACTGTTGAATCAACCTGATAGCCCTTCGTATGGATCAGCACCCAGCGTTACAAAGGTTGGTGGCCCCTGCTTTACAGCAGCAACAGCTTCAACCCTCCTGGGAAGGCTTTAGAGAAGGTTGAGGAGTTCATGGGAATTCTTACACCAGTCTACCAGAAGTGTGCTTGGGAAGTCAGGCACTGATGCAGTTTGGCTCCCAGTCTCAGCTCTAATTCGTCCAAAGGCTTAGGTGCAGGTCAGTCACGTTTCTTCACAGTGCAATACAATCTACATATCAGTATACAAAAGTACCGAATCTTCAAAAGTATAATCTGAGCTTAGACTGACCACGACTATGCATGCTCTGAAAGCTAGTTTAATTTCAGCAGGCACTGATGAAGTCGATGTTGATGGAAATGCAGTCCAACTGAACTGAATCGATCCGTGTCACACTGAGTGGTGCAGTTGGAAAACAAGGCAGAGGGCATTCTAGTGAGGGTTACAGCTGATGAGAAGCCAGACAGAAGGCAGCTTGCAGCCAATCGGTCTCTCTTTGTTTTTAGCAACAGAACCAGACTGATGGAAATGCAGAGGATGGATCTACAGAAATGGTTTTGGTGGAAAATAAAAAAAGAGCTAATTTTAGACATTTTATCGTATATTTGTCAAAAAAGAAAAATGTCTTACTTAAAATAAGGTAAATATTCTTCAATAGGATCCAGATTGTCTTGATTTGAGTAAAAAATCTGCCAATGGGATAAGCAAAAGTTGCTTGGCTTCAATTCTCAAAACTAACAAAAGAATTAAAAATTTGATTTATTTACTAGTTTTAAGAATTCTTTTTTTAAACCAAGTATTTTTTTATTTTGTTTTGTAACAGTTATGTATATAGTAACCCCCTCCCACCTCACGTTGCCAGATCTCACATCTAAAGAGCCACATACTAGAGTCAGACATATACAACCGTATCTTACACATACTTAAATGCTCTCAGAACAATGGGCTAATGGGTGCTAGACATCAGCATTGGGCAGTTACAAACCGACATCTGCAGCTGGCATATTTAAAACAAAATTTATAAATGGTTGCCAAGAAGCATGAAATCCCTCCACACATCCACCTAGACTAAACCTTATTTTTTCTAAATGGATCAGATGCATCACACTCCTGGCCAAATGTCGGAGGTTGAGAGTCCTTCCATGTAGTGAGAATCAGTCTTCCGGCCAGTAGGGAGGAGTACGCAATCATGTTTGAGTGGGACCTGCTCAGCAAGTATTGTGGAGGGACAACTCTGAACAACGAAATCAAAGGGTCTGGATATATAGTTTGTCCCGTTATACTAGAATAGGTCCCAAAAAATTTGCTCCAGAATCCTAACAGTTTTGGACAGAGCCAGAACATGTGAATCACCGTTGCTGGTGATGTCCTGCATCTGTCACACGTGGGATCCAAATCCATCTTGAATCTGGCCAATTTGTCCTTGGACCAGTGAAGACGATGCACCACTTTAAACTGTATAACATAGTGTTCAAGACTCACTGACGATGAAGAGATCTTCCTTAGAACCTGTGACCAAAAAGTCTCTGTAATTGGTTCGCCCAAATCTCTCTCCCATTTCTGCTTAAGTTTTTCTAAATTGGTCATTTTACATTCATTAAACAGTGCATACAATCTACCCTTAGTCCCTTTTGAGTCAATTTTACTCTCAAAAATCGAGTCTAACAAAGAAGTGGACGGGCAAGAAGGAAAACATTCTGTGTTGGATGAAACAAGCATTGAATCTGCAAATATCTGAAGAATTGAGATCTGTCCAGGCCGAACCTCTGAGATAATTCTTCAAAAGAGGAAAATCTGCCATCTAAGTATAAATCTTTCAGGGACCTCAACCCAGATTTTGACCAATTATTGAATGCCTTGTCCATAACCGAAGGGACAAACAGATGATTTTTTGTTATAGGTGCCGCTAACCACAACTCAGAGACTAAATGTTCTTCTAAACCGGTTCCAGATTTTGAGGCTATGGGTTATAACAGGGTTCTGTGAGTACGAGGATATAGATTGTTTAAATGGTAGATTTGAACATAGTAGGGCGGCCAGAGACGTATGTTTGACTGAGCTCTCTTCCAGGGACAGCCAGCTAGGTTTGGTATCAGATTCGTTCATCCAATATAACAGTGGTCTAATATTTGCTGCCCAGTAATAGTATGAAAAGTTTGGCAGGGACAAACCGTCCCCTTTTCGGGGTAGCTGTAATGTTTCTCTCTGTATCTGTGATTGTTTCTTGTTCCAAGCAAAACTAGATGATTGATTATCCAACTTATGGAAGAAAGATTTTGTCAGAAAGATGGGAAGACATTGGAATATATAAAGAAATTTAGGAAGCACACACATCTTTATTGAATTAATCCTTCCACAGAGATAGGGTATCCCATCCATCCAGATCCTGCTTTAAGTTAGAGAGGAGAGGCTGATAATTGGCTCTGAATAGATCCTTATGATGATGCGTTATCCATACACCGAAATGTTTTATTTTATGAGGATTAACTTTGAAAGGGCCAGACATAACATGTCTCCCGTACATAGATGAGACAGGCATATTTCACTTTTTTGAATGTTAACCTTATACCCCAATAATTTCCCAAATTCAGAGAGTAATGACAATAACTGGGGGATGCTGGAGTGAGGATCTGATATAAATAATAACATATCACCTGCGTACAGGGAGACCTTGTGTGCTCCAAACTGTTACGGGAAATCCCCTTAATGGCAGGTGTTTGACGTAGCGCTGCTGCGAGCGGTTTCATAGCAATTGCAAACAGGAGTGGTGAAAGTGGGCATCCCTGTCTCGTACCACGCTCTAGCTCAAAAAACGCTGAAATGTTATTATTTGTTCGTACTGCAGCCATAGGGAGCGTATATAGACTCTTAATCCAGGATGTGAATTTTCGGGCCAAATTTAAAGGATTCCAGTGATTTAAATAAGTAGCGCCACTCTATCCGATCAAATGCTTTCTCAGCATCAAGGGAGATTATTATCTCACAGGTCTTGTCAATGGACGGAGATGGACAGTATAAAATATTACACAGATGTCTGACATTAAAAAAAGAATGACGACCCTTAATAAATCCTGTCTGATCGGGAGAAATAATTGTTGGAATTACCTTCTCAAGGCGGCGTGCCAACACTTTAGCCAGGATTTTTGCGTCAGTGTTTAAAAGAGAAATTGGACGGTAGGAGCTACAGTTGAGAGGATCTTTGCCTTGTATAACCGATAGAGATATAATTGCTTCGCGCATGGAGGAAGGCATAGAATTTGAAGAAAACGACTCATTAAACACTGATATTAATAGTGGTGAGAGCAGATCTGAGAATGCTTTATAAAAATCTGCTGAGAAGCCATCAGGGCCAGGTGCCTTACCACTTGGCATGCTTTGGATTGCGGAAGTTATTTCTATGACAGTGAGATCTTCCTCTAACTTTTTGACGTGATCAACTCCAACAAAGGGAATCTGTATGGATTGAAAGAATTTATCCAACCTGTCTGGGTAAGAAGGTGAGTCCGAATGGTATAATGATACATAAAAATCCCCAAAACAAGAATTAATTTCCTTGTTGTCCATATGTTGCACACCGTTCTTGTCCCGTATTATTGGAATTGTCTGTTTTGCTGATTTTTGGTGCAGCTGGTGTGCAAGCAGACGACCAGTTTTTTCTCCATGCTAATAATAGTTAGCTTCCGTTCCAAACAAGAGATCCTCTGCCTGCTTAGTTGACAAAACATCAAATTCTGTCTTCAACTCCAGACGTTTTTTAACCAGCTCAGCTGATGGTGATCTACTGCATAGTTTGTCTACTGCCAAAATATCGCTTGATAGTTGTTTGAGATGTTCATTATTCCTTCTATTTTTCCTGGCCTGAAATGAGATTGTCAATCCCCTCAGGTAGGCTTTTAAAGAGTCCCAGATTGTTGAAAATGGCATACCTGGGGTTTGATTGGTTTCTAAGAAAAATTTAATTTCTGAAGAAATATGTTTAATGTAATCGCCCTCAGAAAGCAGTAAATTGTTAAAGCGCCACAGCTGATATACAGGTTGAGAGCTAGGGATGCACATTTTCATAGACAGCGGGCCATGATCCGAAATAATTATGCTTCCATATTCACATGCAGTCACTAATTGGAGGATCCTCTTATCCATAAAGAAATAATCTATACGAGAATAGCTTTTATGAACTGATGAAAAAATAGAGTACATCCTGGAGGTGGGATTATGGAAGCGCCAAATATCAACAATGCCATATTTTTTGAGCAGCGAATTAATGGAAAGAGCAGTTTTTGACAGGGTTGCCCCCTACCAGAACTCCTATCCAACGAGGAGAGTGTGCAATTTACGTCACTGGCCAGAATAAGATTATGTGTTCCAATGTTTGGCATGTTTAACAGGAAGTTTTTAAAGAATGTGGGATCATCCTAATTGGGAGCATAGAAACAAGCTAATAAAACTGGTAGTGTATATAGTTTCCCAACCACAGTCACATGACGCCCTGCTGTGTCTGCATATACATTAGAGGCAGTAAATTGCACATTATTACCAATTATAATAGCCACCCCTCTTGCTTTTGATTGAAAGTTGGACTGAAATACTACACCTGGCCATTTTCCTCCAAACCTTTGATTATCAGTTTTAGAAATGTGCGTTTCCTGTAAAAAGGTAATGTCCACGTTAAGCTGTTTGAGATGTGACATTACTTTTCTAAATTTGACTGGATGGTTGAGAGGCTTTACATTCCAGCTCACAAGATTCAGTGGGCAGCTATTACCTGTCTAAGTTTTGTTCATGTCCGCCCTTGTAGCGCGTCTGCTTCAGTTCACACCCACAGTCCCCCAACTCTATAGCCCCACTGAGACTCCACAGAAACATAAAAACCAGTCTGACAGACAAAAATTATAAGATAGGATGAATCTGGCAACAACCCTCCCTCAACACCTAAAAGAACAAGGGAACCCACAACCCAACAAGCAAAAATCCGCACATTCTGTGCTTATAGTGAGGGGAGAAAAAGATTTAGAAAATTCCAATCTCAACCTCCAGGCAGGCCCACACCTGGCCACTCATTAAATTAAGCAGACATCTCAATACAATAGTATTAAAAACACAAGGTAGAAATACAACTCCCTCAACCAATCCTCTTATATATAAACCAAGGAAGAACGAAGAAGCTAAATATCAGAGTAATCAACTATAAACCCAATTATATGAACGGATATCATTTTAAAGTCACTTTCCTTAGTCTAGAGTCTGTAGAATCTTCCTCTTTACATAGTCCATGGCTTTCTACAGATCTGTGAACTCTTTATCCTCTCCTCCGTGTGTGATACGAAGCCATGCTGGAAACAGTAATCCAAAACGGATTTCCTCGCGGCCACGTAGAAGTCCCTGAACTCCCGTGAACGCAGCCCTGGCTCGGGCCACCTTTGTGGCGTAATCAGGGAAGATCGCCACCGCCTCTCCGTTAAAACGAAGCGGAGTGCGATCATGGGCCCTGCACAGTACCTCCATGCATTCTTGGTGGTAGTGCAGCTTGGCGATCATAACTCGCGGTCACTCTCCTCCGCCTCTCCAGCCCGAGCCCCGGTGCGATCGATCGATTGTCAGCTCCTTGTCAAGGTGAAGCACCTGGGTTAAAAGTTTAGCTACCACCGCTGTAGAGCTGGAGCCGGGTGTTTCCGGGACACCGAGGATTCTGATGTTGCACCTCCTCATACATCCTTCCATATCTTCACACCTCTATTTTAGTTCCGAGAGCTCTTTATTCAGACCCTTCACAGTATTTTGCAGCAATATCATCTCATCCGACCACGTAGACAGGCCATCTTGCACTTCCTTTATCTCCGTTTTCACCTGGTCAACTTCTCATTGAAGGGCAGCCGTACAGTTCTTAATCTCGTTTTTTACATCTTGGAGTTCACCTTTTAAACAGGCGAAGTCCTCTGCCAGAGCGTTCTTTAGTTCCGATTTTGTGACGGTTGAAATGTCAGCTTTCAGAGCCAGGAGAATCTCAGACTTCAGAACGTCCATATCGCTGCGTTGTGGCGAGGTATGAGGCGAGTCCTCCCGGGGCTTACCCGAGCTCTGGCCTGAAAGGGCGTTGGGCCTACCAGTAGCCGCGTTAGCTCCTCCAGTATATTTAAATTTCCGCAGATTTGTAGTCATTTATACGTTCAGTGCAGATGAGTTCGATATGAAACACTGTTTGTTATCTCTTGTGTTTGGAGGGATTGCTGAGATGTATTATATAACGGACCAAACTGCCGTAGCTAGATGGGAGCCACACCAACCACAACCTACTCCGCCGCTGCCATCTTGCCCTCTCAAGAATTCTAGCCAAGCAACCTTTTTTGTTTCTTATGTGTCGTCTCCACTTAGCTGTCCAGGATGAAAGGAGATGGGCCTTTGGAGAGTTGGTCCAAACTTAACAATGTCAGATCATCGTGAGATGAAAGCTGGACCCTCTCTGATGTATGTTTGCTTTTCATCCCCTAGGGGAGGTTTCCTGTCCAGACGGAGGTAAGATCCACCTGGACAGCCTACTCTGCTTTTGGCTCTCTGACACCACATCCTCATGGTACGAGGCTCAGGATTCATGTCGGATGATGGGGGGTGGGAACCTAGCAGCTGCTCAAAGCAAGGAGATACAAAATTTCATCCACTATCACTTTACAAAGTAAGTCAAGCCAACATCTGAGCCGTTCATTCTTTCAAATAGAGAACACTGAATTTGTGATTTGTCTCAGTGGAACCTCCATGTGGACATGGCTGAATGGATTGGGAGAAGAAGGTCCTGAGCAGTTTGGGGTTGGAGTGCCAGAGACTTCGGAATGGTGGGATAGATTAAGAGCACATGAAGGTTTGTGTCCTCAGATGGCCTTGGGGAACCCAGGAAGATGGAGGAGGACTAAATGTGATGGACAATACCGCTTCATCTGTGAAAATCGAGTTTCTGGTAGGTTTGATCCCACCCCCGGGTTCACACCAGTGACATTCTACCTGAGACAAGAGGTCCAAACAACAATCAGGACCACATCGTTTCCCATCCGCCAACAGACAATGGTCCACAGAGCTGCATCACATAACAGAATAAATAACAAATAAACTTTATACTGATAACCTAAAAACCATATGTTTTATTAGTGTCCTTTCAGACACCAGTGGATGATTTTGTTTTGCTCCTCTCCTTCCAGACTCTTTACCCTCTCCAGAGAAGTACCTGATTGGATTGGTTCTGATGACTGGTGTCTACACCCACACCCTGATACAACCACTTCCCCGTTCACCTGATACTGGACAACACAAAGCCAAGGTTGGTTTGATGGTCAGACATGATCTAATTATGACGTTTGTTTTAAATGTTTTTATTTAAATTTACTCCTAACCATGCGTCAATCTGTTAAAGCTGCAATCTGTAAACAAGCTAGGTTTTGGCCGCCAACACCGTTACAGAACACTCACCCCTCCCCTTGGGTATTTTCACTGGTTCCGCGTTACCGGAACTGAAAACCCACATTGCAAGAGGGAACAAGATGGTTCTAAACAACAGTCGCCATTTTCTAGATCCAAAAGTATTTTGTTGTCTGTGACAACTGGTGTTTTTCTTTTTGGGACTCTAGTTGTCCTCAAGATAAGTAATAGCAGCCGGCTGTTTCTCCCTCTCTGATTATGTTGATATTATTGCTACAGCTGTGATGTTGTGTTGCTAAATACGTGTGTAATGACTACAGGCTCCAATGCCAGTTCAGTGAGATGACAACCCGATGGTCCAATAGTTGCTTTCGGTCCAAAATGTGTTATTGGTGGTTTTTAGACTAATGCACGAGAACCACTTAATTCATTTTTCTGTTTTTTTTAACTCCACAATATATTCGTAGCTTTACTATGTTAAATTGTTATTTTGAGCTATTTTGTGCTCTAAATTTAAAGCAAGAGAACAACTTCACTTTTTTTTTTGCTAAAGAAGGTTCCACAGGCTGTAGGTCCATCAGGAGAACTTCCATTTGTTCCGAGTTTAGCAACTAATGACTCACTGTTGTGTGTTTTGAGTGCTTCGGGTTGGATTGAGATCATTTTGGAATCTAGAAGACAAGTAGGTCTTTTAAACCAAACAGCTGTTTATCATACATGCACAGTATATCTTACTTATACCATACAGGTGAAGTATATGGTATAAATGTCATGCATGTACAGTATATCTTATTTATACCATACATGAACAATATATCTTACTTATACCATACATGTATAGTACATGCTATAAATGTACATACTGTACAAGTTTTATCAAGTTTTTATTTTTTAATATAGGGCTATTTTAATTTTATGTATCATGTGTTTTATTTATCTTTGCTGTTTTCTGTTTAGTCAATTGTTTTAATGTATTTTCTGTACAACACTTATTTCCTGTGCTGGGTCTTTTAAAGTGCTTTATAAATAAAACTGGATTGGATTGGATTGGATACATGTACAGTATATCTTACTTATACCATACAGGTGTAGTAAATGTTAAAAATGTCATACATGTACATTATATCTTACTTATTACATACATGTACAGTATATCTCACTTATACCTTACATGTACAATATATCTCACTTAAATCATACATGTATAGTATATGTTCTAAATGTCAAACATGTACAATATGTCTCACTTATTCCATACTTGTACAGTATATCTCACTTATACCATATATGTACAGTATATCTCACTTATACCATACTTGTACAGAATATATCACTTATACCATACTTTTACAGTATATATCACTTATGCCATGTATGTACAGTATATCTCAGATATTCCATACATGTACAGTACATCTCACTTGTACCATATTTGTACAGTATATTTCACTTGTACCGTACTTGTACAGTATATCCCACTTATACCATACATGTACAGTACATATCACGTATACCATACATGTACAGTTGGTTTCACTTATACCATGCATGTACAGTATATCTCACTTGTTCCATACATGTACAGTATATCTTACTTATTCCATGTATGCACAGTATATGTTCTAAATGTCATACATGTACATTATATCTTACTCATACCATACATATACAGTGTATCTTACTCATAACATGTACAGTATATCTCACATATACCATATTTGTACAGTATATCTCACTTATACCATACTTGTACAATATATCTCACTTATACCATACTTGTACAGTATATCTCACTTATACCATACTTGTACAGTATATCTCACTTATACCATATATGTACAGTATATCTCACTTATACCATATTTGTAATAATAATAATAATAATACATTTTATTTCAAAGCGCCTTTCAGGAAACCCAAGGTCACTTTACACAAAACACGTAATAAAATACAATAAAACAATAATAAAACCCAAAGAAGAAAAAACAGAGAGAAACATTTCAATAAAATCAGAGGTTGTAGGCAGATTTAAACATGTGTGTTTTGAGTTTTGTTTTGAAAAGGGTAAAACTGTCGACGTTCCTGATGTCTGGGGGAAGTGAGTTCCAGAGTCGAGGAGCAGAGCGGCTGAAAGCTCTGCTCCCCATGGTAGCGAGACGGGCAGAAGGAACCGCAAGATGGATGGAAGAAGAAGATCTGAGTGAACGGGACGGGGTGTGAATACTTATAAGGTCTGAGATATATGGAGGAGAGAGGTTGTGGATTGCTTTGAAGGTATGGAGGAGAATTTTGAAGATGGACCTGAATTTAACTGGGAGCCAGTGAAGCTGCTGGAGAACCGGCGTGATGTGGTGAAAGGAAGGGTTTCTGGTGATAATACGGGCTGCTGAATTCTGGACCAGTTGCAGTTTATGAAGGAGTTTGTTGGGAAGACCATAAAGAAGTGAATTGCAATAGTCGATACGGGAGGTGACGAGGCTGTGGACGAGAATGGCGGCAGTGTGAGGGGTCAGTGAGGGACGAAGACGGTTTATGGAACGTAGATGGAAGTATGCTGACCGAATTAAGTTATTAATGTGAGCCTGAAAAGAAAGTGAGCTGTCGAGAATGACACCCAGACTCTTGACATGAGGTGAGGGGGAGACTGTGGCGCTGTCAATAGTTAAAGAAAAACTGTCAGATGTTGAGAGGGTGGAGTTAGTGCCAACAAGAAGAAGTTCAGTTTTATTGCCGTTGAGTTTGAGGAAATTAGAGGTGAACCGTGATTTGATTTCAGAGAGGCAGAGTGTAAGGGAGGATGGTGGGAGAGTTGAGTTGGGCTTACTGGAAATGTAGAGCTGGGTGTCATCTGCAAAGCAGTGAAACTGGATATTGAATTTGCGGAAGATTTTGCCGATAGGGAGGAGATATACTATGAAGAGGAGGGGCCCCAGGACAGAGCCCTGGGGCACACCTGACTTGACTGGGGAGGGTTCTGAGGTAAAGGATTTTAACTGGATGAACTGAGTGCGGCCAGTAAGGTAAGATTGAAACCAGCTGAGGGGGGTGTGAGTGATGCCTAAGGAAGAGAGTCTATTGAGGAGGATGGGATGAGAAATGGTGTCAAAGGCCGCACTCAGATCGAGGAGAATAAGAGTAGAGATTAAACCAGAATCAGCAGCAATGAGTAGGTCGTTAGTGATCTTGATGAGAGCTGTTTCTGTGCTGTGGTGGGGACGGAAGCCAGACTGAAACTGTTCATACAGGTTATTGCGGGTGAGATGTGAATGGAGCTGAGATGCAACAGTTTTCTCAAGGACTTTGGAAATGAAGGGAAGATGGGAAATGGGACGGAGGTTATTGAAATCATTGGGATCTAAACCAGGTTTTTTTAGAATAGGGCTGACTGAAGCGGATTTGAATAGGGATGGGACTGTACCAGAGGATAGTGAGGAATGAATAATGGCTGTTATAAAAGGGAGCAGAGAAGAAAGGCACGATTTAACTAAAACAGTTGGAATAGGGTCCAGTTGACAGGTGGAAGGTTTGGATTTGGTGATGTAATCTAATATTTCTGAGGGATGGGGAAGTTCAAAGGAGGAGAACGGAATGGTGGGTTCAAATAAATCAGGAGAGGGAGGGGAGGAATGAGGTAAAGAGAGATGGATTCTATTGACCTTCTCATTAAAAAACTGAAGGAGAGAGTTACAGGTTTCTGAAGAGTAAAGATGGATGGGTAAGGAGTCGGGAGGCTGAAAAATGCTGTTCATGATGGAAAATAATGTTTTAGTGTTGCTGGAGTTGGACGAGATGAGACCGGAGAAATACTGAGATTTGGCATGGGAGATGGAGTCCTTGTAGAGAGAAATCTGAGCAGAATATAAGTCTTTATGGATGGTGAGACCGGTTTTCTTGTAGAGTCTTTCAAGCCTCCGGTTGGTAGCTTTCAAAGTATATTTACAGTATACATACGGTACAGTATATTTCACTTGTACCGTACTTGCACAGTATATCTCACTTATACCATACATGTACAGTATATCTCACTTATACCATACAGGTACAGTATATCTCACTTGTACCATACATGTACAGTATATCTTAATTATTACATATATGCACAGTATATGTTCTAAATGTCATACATCTACATTATATCTTACTCATACCATACATATACAGTGTATCTTACTCATACCATACATGTACAGTATGTCTCACGTATACCATACTTGTACAGTATATCTCACTTATACCATACTTGTACAGCATATCTCACTTTTATCATACATGAACAGTATATGTTCTTAATGTCATACATGTACATTATATCTTACTCATACCATACACATACAGTATATACCATACATGCACAATATATCTCACTTATACCATACATGTACAGTATATCTTACTCTTACCATACATGTGCATTATATCTTACTTATACCATACATGTACAGTACATCTCACTTATACCATACATGTACATTATATCTTACTCATACCATACATGTACAGTACATCTCACTTATACCATACATGTACATTATATCTTACTCATACCATACATGTACAGTACATCTCACTTATACCATACTTGTACAGTATATATCACTTATACCATACATGTACATTAAATCTTACTCTTACCATACATGTACAGTACATCTCACTTATACCATACTTGTACAGTATTTTTCACTTATACCATACTTGTACAGTACATATCACTTATACCAAACATGTAAAGTATATCTCACTTATACCATACATGTACAGTATATCTCACTTATACCATACATGTACAGTATATCACACTTACACCACACTTGTACAGTATATCTCACTTATACCATACATGTACAGTATATGTTTTAAATGTCATACATGTACATTATATCTCACGTATACCATACAGGT